GAACCAATACTGTTACAGATGAGGCCTCTTCTGTAAAGATAGGTGGCTGTGATCAATTCTTTGATTGCTGGCATTGCATCTTCCAGGTTAACAGCATTTTGTTTTGTTATTTGGGCTTTTTTGTTCTATGTATAGCCAGTTCCTATAAATTTTAACAGCTTTATTTTTTCTTGATGTATTTCCATGCTTCATTTTTGTGCAAAATCTTGAAAGCTTTTGCAAAGCAAAACATACAGGGAAGTCAGGAATTTTCTAGCTTCAAACATCAAACTAAGCTGAGAAAGAGAAAGTGTGGGAGAGGTCAGGATGCAATTACCTTATGCACTTACCTAGCTTTTTTTCTTCTGGATCTAGATTAGCTGTTTACAAAAAGGACACAGAGGCACCCAAGAGTTGTGGCATTATATTTGGTCTGGCTGGGATGGAGTTAGCATTCCCCACTGCATACCACATAGAGCTGTGCTCTGTTTGTAGCTACAAAGTTGTTGACGTCTGTCCAGTGTTTGAGTGGCAGCTTATCAGTGCTCCCACTGCATCAAGGCTGTTTCTTCAATACCACCCCAAAGGCCAGTGGGCTGAGATGGGCAAGGTATTGGGGGAGGACATAGGTGGGACTGATAAGCAAACATGGAAGGACAGCTGATCCAAACTGACCAAAGGGGTATTCCACACCATATGACGTCTGCTCAGAAATAAAAGCTAAGAGAAGGTGCAGGGGGAGGGCGGGGGAAGCATTTGTTATTAAGGTGTTTGTCTTCCAAAGTAACTGCTATGTGTACTGGGGCGCTGCTTCCCAGGACATTGCATGCTGAGGGGAAGTAGAGAATAAATCTTTTTGCTTTCCTTTGCTTTCACACACAGCCTGTGCTTTTCATCATTAAACTGTCTTTATCTGAGCCCATGAGATTTTAGTCTTACTTTCTCCCTCTGTCCTGCTGAGCAGAGGGAGTGATAGAGTGGCATGGTGGGCTCCTGGTGGCCACCTAAGGCCAACCCACCACAGGCATGCCCCGGCTTAGATGAGTCCTGCTCCATAGAGGGAATGAAGTAACATATTGGACCAGTGGAAAGACAGGATTCATCTTTATATCAGCATCACAACTTGATGCCTGACCCCCTTGGTGCTCAGAGCCACAACTAGCCAAGCCTAGCTCTGCTCTGATACCTGAAATATCTCTGCACATGGTGTCTAAGGTATCTTTGTAAAGTCCTCAGGATTCTGAGTAACTCATGAGTAAAGTGTGTGGCAAACAATAATACAGATTGACCATCCAGAAATTGGTAAACTACTGAACAGTATCTGAATTACACTGTGACTGGAATCACCTTGTTAAAATGCTTGCTGAAAACAGGTGCTTGCTGTGGAGCAGTCCCTGACCAGTTATCAGTTTGCTGATACTTTAACAGAAACCTTGGAAGGGCTGACAGTCACCAAAGGAAAGCAAATAAAAACATGTCCTAGAAGACACACTTTTTTCTCTTACATCTGATAGTGAAGGACAAGACAAAGGAGACTTTGAAAAACTGCTGTGGAGAGAATACTTTTACAAGCTATTTCAGGTAAGCAATCTGTAAGAACAATCCTCCTTAATTTATACTGATGACCATTTTCAGGTTTTGAAATGTTCTCCTTTACTTGTTAATTCCTATTCAGCAAACACAAAGAAATAAAATTTAAGTGCAATCATGGAATATAAAGAGGAAAAAATTGTCAGGAAAGTGCTCTTAAAAACATCAATTAGGCAATAAAACGTCTTTAGCTCAGGCCATTTGGTTAGCATCTGTGAATGCCTTTGTGTTCTGCAGCTGGGAAAACACCAGTTTGTAAAATCTCTTTAGCTAGCAAAGCCCCTGCATGAATATATTATTTCTATTCTGCAGAAATGTTAATTGGCAACTCATTAAAAAGTTTGATTGGTATATGTGAGTGAAAACCAAGACCTCAGGAGTTACAAAAATGTACTGAGTAATGTGAAATTCTTTATTTTCTGCAATAAGGATACACTCTGGTTTTCCTGAAGGAAGCCACCAATACAAAACCTCAAATCCCAACATCAATGAAACCAGACCTGGTAACAAGCACGTTCCACGAGTTGAGAAAGGAAAGATAAGTGTTAAATCATGTATGCAAAATGGTTAATCAGTCACAGTCACACTAGAACCATGCATGGCTCTTCCCGATTAACACCAGCCACCGAGGGATGAGCAGGACACAGCGCTACCCTTCAGCAAGCACCGCTTGCTGCCACCCGTGTGATGGAGCTGCCCACACAGCATTCCTTACAGCCCACAGGTCAGGCCAGCGCTGCCCACCGGGCCTTCAGCGCGTCACTCTGACGGGACACCTGCTACTGACGCCCTGCAGCAGCTCAGGCCACCTGGGGGGACCTGCACAGCCCCGGAGAGCAGC